AAATTTCAAATTTCAAATACAATTTTTTTTTTTTTAGGTTCTTTTTATACAGATTAAAATATTTCAATCTAGTGCTCAAAAGATGTCATTTTTCAATCCGAAACATGTGAGAAAATTAATGAAAGAGAGTAATATCAATCTACGAACTTTAAAATATTAAATTATCAATTCAAAGTTGGACAATTAAACACCATCAAGAATTACCAAAACATTGGTCAATTTAATTAACCTCAATTACCATGCTATGTCAATTATTAATTAAAAAACAAATAATTTCACAATAGGTATGGGAAGAGGTGGAATTTAACCGTAGAGAATATACGTGCGATTAAAGTCAGAAAAATTTGACAATAATCGGAAGTAGAAAAAGAAGAATCACATCTGTGTCCCTGCAAAATGTTTAACAGTAAATCCAACCTTCTCAAACTTACCCTTCTCACTATTCTCTCTGAACTTGACATAATCCCCACAAGCAAATGGCTTGTAGACCCTTGAATTCCCTTCTCCCACAACCTCCTCGGGAGCACATACAACCTGCTCGTCCTCGAAGCACCAGAAAAAGGCAACAGATAATCGGTTCACGTTTTTTCTCAGGACAACTCTGTGCTCGGAGGACCTCAACTTATCATTACTCCAAGCCTGTAATAAATCGCCAATATTCACCACAAGCGCATTTTCTTTGGCACTAATTTCCATCCACTGCCCTTCCTTAGACCTCACCTGGAGCCCGCCAATTTCATCTTGCCAGACTACGGTTATGCAGCTCATATCTGTGTGCATGCCAAGCCCTTCAATTTCTTGACCATCACTCGATCCGGGGAGAGAGTAGTGGTTTATCCGCATATAGCCGTGGCAATTATTGAATTCTGCCAAGTATTTTGTATCAAAATTGAGTCCCAAGGACTCGATTATGGCTTTGAGGATAGTTTTTGACAAGTGTGTCATTCTGTTTCCATATTCTTGTACTATTTCACTGACAAAATAACATCAAGGAATAAAAATTACACATAGATTAAACAAGAAAAAAATAATAATAAGCAAAGGAGTTCACACTTGTTGAAAGCAGCCAGACTCGGATGTTTCCCCCGGTTTGACAATATTACCAAATTTCTAATAATCTTCAAAGCAAATTCCTCGAAAAACACCCACAGCCCCACCAGTCCATATAGTTGGAAGTTCCAATTCTTCTAATTTGAATATATTTGGATTATCATTTTATTTTTCCTTGCTTTTGTAACTGAACCAACTCTTGTCTTAAAATGTTTCAGAGTAGTCTTGTTTATCATTTCCTCACAGACCAACAAAAGCATATATACATATTAAAAGAAATAGTATTGTCGATGGATTACAAGACCATCAACAAAGATGACTTCCATATGACCATGTTATGAGCTAATACCTCTCTACTTTCTTTACCTGAATTCGCCATCTGATTGATCCATGAGGACTCGGGAAGAACTATGTGCAGAACCGAAAAAGTCGGGACCGGATACACGTAAACTCTCGAAAAAGGGCGACGCAATGAAATGAGGAGTATATGTATTTATAGTAGACAGAGGACCAGCTTTGTTTTTCACCTCCGGCGGCAGGTTGAAAATCTGGCTAGAAACAGAATACATTATCCTGCACAAGTCGTTGGGAATTCCATGATTAGTTACGTGAAAAAAGCCCCATTCTCTGCAGGCTTCAGAAAGAGAAGAGAGGGAGGACGAGCTAAAGGGCTGTGAAATGTCAAAAGTAGGAAGTTTTATCGACATACTGGGAAAAAAATGTGGGAGGTGAGTTAGTTCTGCTCGTTTGGTTGCTTAAATAGAAGGCTGGTTCAATAATTACAATTACATCAAATCCCAAAACACCATATTGAAAATTCAAAGATTACAAGTAGATGTACAAAAAGAAAAAAGTAAGATTTCAGACAAGTGAACAACATTGCTTGGCGACCAATATACATAGAAAAGAGTTTTGAACAGTATCATGCAGGCAAAAGAATAGGAAAAAAAAAAAGAACAAACAAACAAACAAACATTTTGGCCTTCCTCATATGCACAGGACATGTTTTACATTCACATTCAGTTTATGTAACAGACAGAACTCAATAATCTAATGGGTTTGACCATAATATCTTCTGTCCTTGAATACTATTTAAATCATACTAAGATTAATCGGCAAAAAAAGAGAAGGTTGGGGGGGAAGCAGCCAGCAAGAAAGATGGGTCTTTGCTGGTAATTTATGCTTTGTCATACCTGTTATGCTTAGATTCTTGAGCCTAGATTCTTCAGATGGAAGCTTTGACTTGACAATGCTTTTTTTTTAATGCCAAGTGCCAACAGGTGAGGGATATGATGAAAATTAGGCGCTCAGTATAGTAAAATTAGCACAAGAACTACTTTTTTTCCGGGAAACAAAATAAATTTTATTCGATTTAAAATCAAATTGAACATTCAATTTGTTCTAGCCTGCGCTATAGAAACTAATCTATGTTTAGCAAACATTAGCACCGCCTATTTTCTTTTCTTTCTTCTTTTCATTCTCTTTTGCAATTTTATTACTTTGTTTTCCTTTTCCTGTCCAAATACTTCTATAACTCCAATTATTCCTTCAGTCGTTAATCGTCATTACATACATCATCATCATTTGGATTCATATTCAAGCAAGTAAGGAGTGATTGTGCGACCAAATTAGAAAAAAAGAAATGTGGTAAAGAGGACAAACTCTCAATCCTACACAAAATGAGGACCTTGTAGAAGCTTAGGATAGGTTGCAGATGAAAGAAGGTTCCTCAGATTGTCTCCAGTTTTCCTGCTAACAAAACGTCGACAGAATACAGCCCAAACGATAACGATACTAAGACACAAGACACCATAATTCAATGTAAAATAATAGTCATCTTCAGCCAAAACACATTTTTGTCCCAAGAAATCCTGCTACATTTGCAAAAGGAGGAAATAAAATATCGAATCCGAAATCTTGCTACATTTGCAGCTCAAGGTGGTAATAGTAAATAACGAAAGAACCAATTTTAGGGCCAAAGAATTGCTTTTACAGCGAATTTATGAGTTGCTCCTTTTATTATCACAATGGTGGAGCCATGATTTTCAATACACAATAAACTCAAAATGTTCTCAAACAATCATCAGACTACGAATATAAAGACCCCTCTGCAAAACCCTACAATTCGATTTCATAACACAAAATCTAAGAGCACTTGGGGCCGTAATTCTGACAACAAACTGAAACATTAGTTAAACCTCAATAAATGAATATGTAATGTATCAAGGGGAATCAGAGGATGAGGTAGGCCTTTTGACGGAGCAAGAATTTCTAAAGGCTTCAATCTGGTGGCGGCACTTGGCCTGATCCCCTTTGTTCTCGTTCAAGCACTTCTTTAGGGCTTCGACATCGCATGGCGACATGATCTTTGTCGGACTGCCGTTACCCTTCTCGTCGGTTTTCCAACTTGATTCCATTGTTTATGAAACTGTGGTCAGTGTGAGACTTCTGAGTAATTGTTGTTGGGTTATGGCCCTTACTGTGAGTCTGTGATACAGGAAAAAGGAAGTCTGTATGAACTATGAACCTTTTCGGTAAGGCTGTGAAGTGATGGGGTAAGAGCTTCGATTTTTATTTTTTTTTTTGGTACAGGGATCTTCCAGTTTTCGGAGGGAACCGACTAATCCAAAATCAAGCCGGGTAGGATCACAAGGGCGGCAAAGCTCTCCCTCAAGAGGTTTAACACTGTTGTATTCTCAGGGCTCGAACACGAGACCACTGGTTAAGCTGGAAGAGACCCAAGTCATCTCATCCAAGTTAGGGATGAGGTTTTATACCCGATATTCATAGAACCGAAGTGGACCAAAAATAATCGACTCAGTTCGGTCCGGTTATTAAATTTAATAGATGTACAAAATAACTACTTGTCTGAACCCCACACATGTCCGTAAGTTCCTTTGGGTTGTTACTAAATAAATGTAAAAATTATTTTTATTTATTAATCATATTTTAATTAGATGTTTTTAATTTAATACTTATATAAATATAAAACTCACAAAAATGTATTTATAAATAGTTTAAAATAAATTTATGTTATATAATCATATATATTATTCATAAACTGAATTATATTATTAAAAAAAGTATATTTGACCACATATGCTTATAGGGGTTTATGTAATGATATATTTTTTTATTAGCTAATATGTATATAAATACATAATTTAGTTATTTATTGTATAGAGTAATGCTATTTAGCCCACTTGGTTGACAACTTCGGTTACAACTCAAGTGTAAATGCTTTATTAAAAATTTAAAAAATTATACATTTACACTTATGTTGTAACCCATGTTGTCATCTAAGTGGGTTTTATTTTATTACTCTATTGTATAAGATGGGTGTAACAATACAGAAATGTGTATCAAAATACAGTACATTTTTTAAATATAAAAAAATATTAGTGTTATCATAAATAAGAAAATAACATTAATATAAATATTAATTTTTTTCTATAAAATTGTGACAAATGATAATATAGGATAATAATGTCATTTCATTCTGGTCTTATTCATTCTACATATGAAACGCATCAATGACAAAACTTGTTTCATTCATTTCCCATAATCATTTCATTCTTCAACACATTTCATTCCTACAAAATTTCCTTTTATTATATCAATCATGTCATAAAATGGCTCGTGAGTGAATACACATATAAAACATATACTAAACTACTAAATATTTATATACATATAAAAGGTTTGATATTTATTTAAAAAGTAACTAATTTCCCGCTTAAATAATTCAATTTTACTATTTTTGGTAAATAATTTAGAAATGTCCGCCATTTTTTTAATTTTTTTTTTTTTCAAACGATAGGAATACTCATATAAACAATAACAAGGTTCAGTACAGAATCGTCGCGCCTACCAACGGGTAGAAAATAAACTGAGAGACACACTAAAAATAGTGGCCTAAACAAACCCACCCGGGGTATCAAGCAGGTACATGCACCTGAGCCTTGAATACTCCAACCAAACTACAACCAACAACACAACACACCCCACAAGAAGAACAAAGACAAAAACACCCTATCCTAAGCCAACTCTAAACAACAAAGAAAACCAAACCAACAACAGAGACAAAACAAAGCTAAAGAGACAAACCATAAAAAGGAAGCAAGAGAGGGAAACCAAACAATCTTCAGACTGCAGCTATCTTAAGTCCCTGAACTCTTCCCAGTCCCTCATTGCTCTCTTCATGATAATTTGCTCTGGCATTCTTTCCTTGCTAAACACCCAAAGATTACGAGACCTCCACAGCCACCATAAAATGTATGTTGACAACTGTATCCTGGCCTCTGCTGTTTCATTATTCTTAATAGCACATACCTGCCACCACCAAGCTTTGAAGGTTAAGCCCTGCAGGTCAATTCCTTCCCAAGAGACTGGAGCCATCTTCCAAGCATTTCTGGCTTTTTGACAATGCAGCAATAAGTGTTCAATAGTTTCTTCATTATCACCACACACTGGGCAAACAACATCAACTGCTACCCCTCTAATCAGAAGATTCATCCCAACAGGTAGAATTCCATTACAGCACTTCCATATGAAGTGATTGATTCTACCTTTCACCTTCAATTTCCAGCTTCTCTCCCTCACCATCTTATCCTTTCCCCTTGAGTTACTACCCTCAGCAATATCTAGGATTTTCACCTTCTCTGCTATCAAGTGAGAATAGGAGTCTGCCACTTTAAAATCCCCTTTTCTGTTCAAGCCCCAGACCCATCTGTCATCTTTGTCTGCATCCATGGTTTTGATATTGAGAATTGCATTACTATCTTGGTCAGAGAACATAGACTTCACCAGTTCTTCATTCCATTTCCTACCAGAACTCTCCAACAGCTCCCAGACCCAAGTGGGCTGCTCAACAATAGAAGGCTGAAACATAGGTGCCATACCACCCCCCTCTGGAATCCACCCACCATCCATAATTTTAGTATTTCTCCCTGATCTAATCTCCTTCCAACAAAAAGTTTTAAAGATGGGGAGCATTTTCAGCCAGTTAGACCACATCCAAGAAGTAGAATCTTTTCTCTCAGCTTGAAATATTGAACTGTTAGGGAAATACTTACTTTTCAGAACTTTGGATACAAGAAGTTCAGGTTGGTTGTTGATTCTCCACAGTTGCTTTAGCAATAAGGCTACATTGAAGAGCTTGTAGTCTTTGAACCCCAACCCACCAGACTCCTTTGGCAATGTGAGCAAATTCCAGTTCTTCCAGTGAATCCCCTTTTCTTGTGTTCCCCCTTTACTCCACCAGAACTTAGCTGTAAGACTAGCTAATTCCTTGCAAATGCCATCAGTCATCTTGAAGCAGGACATAACAAACACAGGGAGGGAGTTTATGACTGCTTTTATCAGGACTTCTTTACCAGCAGTAGATAGGAACTTGTTCTTCCAACTGATTAATCTTCTCCTAACAGAATCTATAACAAATTCAAATGTCTCCTTTTTAGACTTACCAATGCCAAATGGGAGGCCCAGATATCTAGAGGAATTGTGAGCAGTTAAACCATCCAGCACAGTACAAATGTTTATTCTCTGCAGAGGTTGTGTGTTCTTGCTGAAAAAGACTGTGGACTTGGAGAGATTCACTTTTTGGCCCGAAAAAAGATCATAATCATACAGAATATCCATCAGCAACTCTGCTTGTTCCACTTCAGCTTTGCAAAATACCAACAAATCATCAGCAAATAGGAGGTGT